GATATTTCTACTTTTGTTTTCAGTTTTTTTCCATCTTCGCGTTGAGGAGGGAGAAACGTTATACGAATACCAGTATTCAACCAGATATAAACCCGCCGGTATCGATTGCGCGTTGCTCCGAGACAACGGAAACCGCGCAAGCTTTGTTTGTTCGGCGAGAAGATTCGAGATAGAACGGTTAAGATAAAACGCGTCCATTAAGTCCCTTGAGAGAGAGAGAGAGAGAAAGAGAACGGATGGCCTTTAAGGTGAGAAGCGACAAGAAGAACCCGCGGCTGACATAATCGCGAGGTAGGAGAGAACGTGACTATTACGTTCGCGCGCGCGAGAAGATTACTGTATAGCGGTTAAACCGAATAGCAACACTTAAGCAGAAATTATTAGAAGATCACCGCAAGGGCCTCCTCTTCGACGGTCTTTTTTTTATCGTGTAACTCGTTAGAGAACGTCCCGTTGCGGTTCGTATCGTCCGTTCTTGCGAGAAGCTGTTCGTGTCCGCATATCCGCGACAATAAACCCATCTGCGAAAGTCATCAGTCCCCGGTGTAAATAACGCGATCGTAAAATTCGACGCGAAAATAAACATACCGCAATTAAACGTATACGATTTTTATACGACATTTTTATACGAGAGAGTGAGAGAATAAAGATGAAGAACGAGCGAGAATGAAAGAATGCGGAGAAAAAGGCGGGCCGAAAAACGTCGCACTATTGTATTAGTGTAATTATGTGAGCGAGACGATCTGGGGGTGCGGCTTCTTAATTAACTTCGCTAATTTCTCGATTAACGCGCGACGTTCCTTCCGCGAAAGAGGGAGATGAAAAAAGGGAAGAGGGTCGGACGACGACGACTATGGCTTCCCGTAAAGAGAGGTTTGCAGTCCCAAGGCATTGCAGACGTCTACGTGTCCGTCTTTCGAAGGAACAGGAACACTCGATTTTCGATCTCTCTACGAGCTACATTCCACCTGTTCGCGCGATTATGGATGTCGACACGCCGAACGGAGCATGTTATCCGAAATACCAGAAGAGAGATTAAGACGCTCATTGGCATAATTGGCAGCATAATTTAATGTTTTTTATGTACGGGAATAGTTTTCGAAGCAGATTGTGTAATATGTAACGATTAAGAGTAAATATATACATGGAGAGAATTTTCTCTTAGAATTTGTCCTGAAAATCATGGTAATCGTGTCACAATATGGTAGTGGAAGAATTTTATGAGTGAAATATTAATATCTACCACAATAAGATATAAAATATGTTTGATTAATTTTACTATGTACATATTAATATTTTTTATTGTGGTAAATATTATAATCAGAGAAACTCTTATAAAATTCTTTCAATATCATATTGTCCCACAATTACCATGCTTTTTAGGGTAAATTCTAAGAATTTTTTCTTAAATATTACCCTGAAAATCATGATAATATATCGTGGGATAATAAAATATTAATATCTGCCAGAATAAGTTATAAAATATGTTTGATTAATTTTACTATGTGCATAAATTAATATTTTTTATTGTGATAAGAGAAATTTATAAAATTCTTCCACAATATACCATATTGTCCTACAATTAGCACGAGAAAATTTTCAGGGTAAATTCTATAAGAGAAAATTCTCTGCGTGTATTTCTCCACAGATTTCTGTCACTAATTTTCCTTTACACTCGTCTTTTTTTCTATCGATGAATCTTTCAGGGAGAGATTTAAGAGAATAAGTTATAAAATATGTTTGATTAATTTTACTATGTGTATAAATTAATATTTTTTATTGTGATAAGAGAAACTTATAAAATTCTTCCACAATATACCATATTGTCCTACAATTAGCATGAGAAAATTTTCAGGGTAAATTCTATAAGAGAAAATTCTCTGCGTGTATTTCTCCACAGATTTCTGTCACTAATTTTCCTTTACACTCGTCTTTTTTTTTCTATCGATGAATCTTTCAGGGAGAGATTTAAGAGAATAAGTTATAAAATATGTTTGATTAATTTTACTATGTGCATAAATTAATATTTTTTATTGTGATAAGAGAAACTTATAAAATTCTTCCACAATATACCATATTGTCCTACAATTAGCACGAGAAAATTTTCAGGGTAAATTCTATAAGAGAAAATTCTCTGCGTGTATTTCTCCACAGATTTCTGTCACTAATTTTCCTTTACACTCGTCTTTTTTTTCTATCGATGAATCTTTCAGGGAGAGATTTTAGTTTTTTTTTCCCTCCTCTCTCTCACGCGAAACCCACCTCGCACCTGTTGACGCAATTTCAACCCGTCTTACGGTACTATTATACGGCGTAGCGTTTATTGCGTCACGCGAGAGCACTATCGCGAAGAGAGAATTCATAGAGGGAAGGAGAAACGACCGAGGAGACGACGTATAGGAGAAACGTATGAAATTCTCGCGGTCCGCCTTAGCGACGACGTCGAAGAGAGGACGGAAGTAAATATCCTGCGGGAAAAAGGATGTGGGCGTCGCGATGGAAAATAACGATCGCGGCCGCCCTAGAAAAACATCGTCCTCTCGGCGGAGGACGATATTTCCCATCGTTCGGAGGAGACGAGACGGATTATCGCGCGCGCGGATCGCGCTCGCACAGGTCAATTGTTCGAGGGAAGGAAAAAAAAGGAAAGAAAAAAAATTATACGGAATCTTTTATTACGAGACCGTTATTACTTCGTGCGGGGGCCCCAAGTGCACCTATCCGGCTTCGTTTTTTTTTTTTTTTTTATGGGACCGTGCTTCGACCCCGCATCCTTCTTTACACGCTCTGATAATAATCTGTCCTTCCTGTGGCCGTATACACACGACGTCGCTCCGCTTTCTTTCCTCTTTTTCCATTTTACGAGCACTTTGTTACAATTAGAGATTGTTACGGCACTTCCGGATATTGTGTGTACGGCCGCTCGTAAAATTGTCACAAATAAAATTGTTATTTCGCGATAGCGAACCGGGAAAGTTGACAAGAATCTAAACGCGGATGCGTAAGATTCTTATTATTTTTTCTCTTACTGTATAGTCTGAAAAAAAATTAGAGTTTCTCAAAGGTTTTCTTAAGTTTTCTTATATAGCACGCTGTTCAAAGCTGTGTTATTTTATTTCATCCTGGTAGCACTTTAGTAACGCGGAACGCGCGGAGAAAGCGAGAAAGGGAGATACAGAGGAGATAATCCTTTGTATAATAATAATAATAACAATTTATATGTGTGAGATATCTTGCAGACGTGTAGGATAATCTGCACTTTTCCACGAAATACGGTCTGAATCTCTACCAACCATCTCATAGCTCGGCAGAGATACGGATTAATCTTGTAGGTATCCGATTATCTGTCGCGTATATGTTATTGTTAACATATCGTCGCGCCATGAGTCAACTTGAGCAAATTACACGCGAGAATAACAAAGAAAATTAACGCCGCCGTTGTATTTAGTCAAGATATCTCTCTCTCTCTCTCGCTCTTCTTTTCTGACTTCTATATTCCATTTCTATGTAAATTCGCGTTGCATGGCGTAGAAAACTGCATAGCCGAATCTAAGGGTGGTCTAAGGCGCTGCATATTTGCACTTTCCCCAAGAAACATCTTCCCGTCGACGGCAAAAGCTTCCTCCTCCGCGTACTCGAGACGAGGGTGATAAAAGAAAAAAAAATTAACCGGGATGAGAGAGAGAGAGAGTTAGCTCGTAGCGACTTTTCTCTTAAAATCCAAATGCGCGTTGAATGAAATATTTATTTCCAATTGCAAAATTGAAAGAGTTATTAAAATAGTCGTTAAAACAGATGAACCATTGTTTCTCTTTATCGAAAATTCATGATATTTCTAAACTTTAAATATATATACTAAAAATAATAATATCAATATAATATATATATATATATATATAGATATAAATTTATATTAATAAATATTAATTAATAAAATTTTAATTAATTTATATTTATTATTATTATTATGTATGTATATTAATATTTTATTATATTTTACTATTTTATTAATTAATATTATATATAATAAAAAAATAAAATGTTTCATTTCAATATTTGATCATTATATACTTATGATAATGATAACGTACACTGTAAGACATACAAAATTCGCTGGGTAGTCAACGTGTTAATATCCACTTGATTACGAAATAATCGTCTTCCTCAAATAATTTGCGTGATTAAAAACTCCTTCGATATGCTAATACAGTAATTTAAAAGCCTTTTTGAAATTCAATCGATTATACATTCTATAAGGCGATAAACTTAAAAAAAGGACGCATAAATGAGATAAAATGTGGATGTACGGCGTTAATCTACGCCTCGTAAATTCGACATCGAACCTGCCGATCAGACGACGAGGAAAAGCAAAGAACGCGCAGAAATTGCACGTCTTGCCATCTTCCTCGATGGCATACCGCGTCTCGGTGGTTAATTGCGGCTGACAAAGAAATTCCCAGGCGCGAACCACGAAGAGGGAAATGATAGAGAGAAAGAGAGAAGTTGAGCGAACGTGAACTCACGCCGAGGATTATCGGCATGCAAAGACAATTTGCCTTGGATAATTGCGCGTCTCGTTGACTTTTCATCAGCGCGAATGTTGCATCAACAAACAGGGAGTATCTCAAAGTTTTTTTATCGCTCGATATATACACAAAATCTGCTTTCAGAGATTCGTGTATCTTCAAATACTGTCTCTCTGTCGGCACTTCTCCTTTTTAAGCTTCGCGAGAGTGAATCGCGTCGTTTATTATGCGTTGCACAAATGAGACTGCAAAGTCTCGCAATTTTTTTCCCCTCGACACGCGCACAAAATATTGTATATGACAAACTCATCATCAGAGTTTATGATAAGCATGAGAGAGATGGATGTTCGCCAAGCGATTAACTGACCTCGCGCACGCAATAAATAACGCATCTAATATTGCGATAGAGAGAGAGACCGACCAGTATCACAAACATAAATATCAAGAGAGGAAGATAAATCGTCGGCGACTCACCTTATTCGCCAGGTCCAGCATATTTCCGGTTCCGCCGGCGGCTGCCTCCACCAGCTTCTGAAGGCTATGAGGTTCCGGCGACAAATCACGTGCACCACTGTCGAATTCCCAACTCTCATGTCGTCCCGACACGGTTCCTGAAATAGAAATTACGCGCGTATCAGTAAAGGGCAAAGATCTTCGCCTTTAACGCCGAGAAATATGAGCAAACACGACCAAAGTGATTTGACGAATTTGTTCTTCTGAGATTCAACGGTGAATAAGGAAAGGAAAACACGAAACATGCTCGAAGCTCCTATCGTTTAGCGTTGAAAAGAACTCCGCACCAAATGCATAGGATTTTGGTTTTCGATGGGATTGGCTGCTTTTTTTATATTTATGTCCTGCTGAACATAAGAAGTAATAACTCCAGCTAAATATTGAATAATTAGTGAGATATAGTCGGTCAAACAACTCGTAGAGCCCAGGTTTTCTTATTACATTTTTCGTTCAACAAATCATAAGCTACAACATATAAGAAAATCAGCTAATCTTACCAAGATTCAATTTTATATGACTAGTATGGGATTTTTGAACCTATATAAAATCCTAGGTAAAATTAAACCTCGATAAAATCAGCTTATCTTCTCACATGTAACTCATGACTTGCTGAACAAAAATGTAGTAGGTTCAAATAATAGATGGTTACTGATTTACAGTCAGCCAAACACGAAAAATTAGGATTTTACAAATTGTTTGATTGGCTGTAACTCAGTAACCATCTATTATTTAGCTTTGAGGCTATTACATCTTGAAATATGAAACACATGAAAAAAAAAACAGCCAATTCTATCGAAATTCTATGTATTTGGCGCGGGGTCCTTTGTATCGCTAAAAAGTAAAGCAATCGAACATTTGACTTTTCCTTTTTCTCAAGTCCTTTTCAATGTCACGTAACCAGACTTTACGTCTCGCTGGCGACGGGGAATTGTGTGCGAGAAATGGAAACGCCCGGCACAATATCCCAGGTTGCCATTTCCAATTCATTCATCGATCTCGCGATGTCGTATTACACGCGATCGGGATATTACAAATGTTACACACCGCAATGTGCTTTCCGCGTTCATCTCGCATTCATTGTTCCATCGATCATCAGTCCCGAGCAAATAGCGCGCTCGTGACATATACAGACACACAGATGCCACATATGTACACATAGGTATATTCGCGAAATAATATCCGGAATATTCCACTTTTGCGTATATTTCGATAAGCATACGCGACCCAGACAGCACAAGACATCCTCAGGATTATCCTGAAAATGTCCAGGATGATCCAGAACACATTTGTTATAGAATGTTTTGAGATATTATTATCAATATATTTTATGAAAATTTAATATCCATATATGATTATTTTTGTTGGACAAAACAAGTTATATGCTACGCAATCTAAAATTGTTTTATCATCAAAATTTTTAAGTTTTGATAACTATCTCGAGCATATGTATTTTTTGAAAAACTACAAGAATACGAAAAACTACTGATATAATAATAGTTTTTCAATAATACATTATTAAAGAATTATTATTATATTAGTAATTTTTCATATTCTTATACCTTTTTGTATGGATAAACTTTATATATTCCGATATAAAAATCAGTATAAATTTATATAGATATCTTTTTCATATAAAAGCCCTTGGAATATCCCACACAATATCCTGAGGATAATTCAAGGATAAAAAAATGAGTGATCATTTGCTCCTCCTCAGAACATCCGGAGGTCTTAGGATTAAAATAGGATATCTTGAGGATATCTGTATATCCATATGGATGTTCTTTGAGATGATTTCCAGAGGACATCCATGTGCTGTCTGGGGACATTTACATTCCTACGGAGAGTCGGCGAGAATATATAAATGGCATCTTGATACTTTTCGCGAAATTTCCACTCTTTTCTCCCGCTGCTCCGAGAGAGAGAGAGAGAGAGAGAGAGAGAGATTTACAGGATGTCCAGCAAACTCAATGAAAAAAATTCTCTAACATTTTTAGATTTTCCAAGAACAGAAATTAATTTTTTCCTTGACTTTTAGTAATATTTGCAAATATATAATTTGCATATCTATATAATAAATCAATTAAATGTTAAATCATGAAATCCTTGAGATAATTTTGTCAACGATGAAAATGTTTAAAAGTTAAAAAAACACAAAAATTGTAATCAATTATACAATCTGCATTATGTACGATAATCGAAACAAACATGTCACTATATAAACTATTTAAAGAATCACCTTTTTTATTTATATTATATCAAATTTTTTAGTTTTGTCTCTATCAAACACATTGAAATAAAATAATACGACAATGAAAATATAAATTAAAGAATCGATTTTTAACAACACAGAAAATTAGCCTGCTGGGAGTCAAGGAAAAGTTTATATTTATTTAATAAAAAATTTCAAATTATTAAGACAAATGTAGAATATGAAAAAAAATTTCCTGACTTTTTCACTGACAATTCCAGATTTATAAAATTTCCTGGCAATACCCGGTTTTCCAGATTTCCCTGATCGCTAGACACCCTGAATTTATTATCGCGAGAGCAGGAAGGTGTCGCGGAAATTTGAACACTGAAAAAAAATTATTTGACTTAACAAATCTGCGGTCGAATACGTGCAAATAAATATCAATGTAATAAGAACTAAATATTTTGTTTAATTGCAATGCCAATGTAATAAGAGAACTAAATATTTTGTTTTTAACACAAAACAAAATATTTGTTAAAATTGATATTTATTTGCACGTATTCGACCGCAGATTTTAAGTCAAATAATTTTCTTTTTTTTTCAGTAAAGAGATATGTATATGTAATTCTTACCGAGACTGTTGTCGCTGCTGGTGGGCAAGTATTCCGGTGTATGATGCGGACTGCTTCGCCGTTTGCCGGTTCTGAGCGCCTCGATTTCCGGTCTTAGGGCCAGACGTCGCCTGAGGAACTCCTGATAGGAAATGCGACCTTGCTCGTCCGCGCCCAGTTCCCTCATCAATTCCTCCACCGAATTCTCGAGGTTCAATTCCCGGCATACCGTCAATAGGTCCTGGCTGAAAGTTCACGAGACGTCATTAAGAGGATTCGTTCATTGTTGGTTGCAGAGAGACCGCGAGTTTATAATACGAATCTCAATCGGAGGGTAAAGTTTGATTATTGAATTATCTATCCTGTTTCGTCGAACGTATACGTATATGTAAACGTGGGGAAACGTTTGGAGAACTTCTTCTCGTGACCGTCGTGATCGCGTGATGATGGAATTTCGGCCGCTTAACGCGAATCGCAAATAACAAACCATTCGCATTATAGCATCGCGTATTAAGCAAAATGTGTATTACGAAGACTAAGTACTATATCTCCCTAATGAATAATTCATCTCGTGAATAATTCATACATCAGACAGAGGCATGGCGCGGGAAGACGAAGCACGAAACAGTTAAAAGCGGAAAGGCACCGCTGAGTTCGCCATGTATTATATATAATTGTCCCATCAATACATATATATATCCGAAAAAGAGAAAATATATATATATGTATATTTTAATAATCCATTATGTAGATGCGATCGCGAACCACGATCCGATCCGATTTGTCCGACGTATATACACAGCAAATGGATCTACTCGGAGATCTATTCGGAGGAAGAGGAAGAGCTCAGCTCTCCCATTTTAACGATACTGTCGAGATTCATTTAATTAAAAGGGACGGCCGCTGGCGCTTGTCATATCATCCGCGCGATCGCTCCTACGTCCATTACGATGCTCAAATAATTGTCTAACCAGCTGGAAGGACGAGAGCAGGCCCGTCACTCTTGATTATCGGTCGCGCCGCGACGCAGCGAGGAACAGCGCGATTCGCGTCACGCGAACCAAAACGACGGGATTGAGAGAAAGAGAGAGATAGAAGCGTTCCGTTGCACCATCCAGTGGCGCTAGGTCGACAGGACAAAATTAAAGATTCATCAGTTACAGAGCCGTCTGCCCTGCCGCGCCAGCACCGAGAGAGAGAGATGAGATACCTCCGGAAAATCGTTAAACCGCGGCTGGCCTCGTGATTTTGTCCTTCGCACGTCCAGACGTGAAAAATTGCGAGACGGCAGAACTGTCATCCGCGCGATTTGCGGAAAATTACAAGATCGCGAGATTATTTATCGCGATCTGGATTTCGAGAGATTGGAGAAGAAGATATAATAATAAATTCGCTTACCTTTCGAAAATACTGCAGATGATGAATGAGGTTTTAGAGAATTCAAGTTGTACGAGGAGAGAATTTTCTGTCAGAATTTATCCCGAGAATCGTAGTAATCGTGGTAAAAATATATTAGATTCAAAATATGTTCGATTTAATTTTACTTGGCAAGATTGTGGTAAATATTAATTAGAAAAACTCTTATAAAATTCTTCCAATATCATATTGTCCCATGATTTTCTCTCTGTGTACAGTTCTCTGCGTCAATTTATTATGACCATCCTTTTTCATTTTCCCATTTTCATAAATTATGCCAATATTGTGGCAAGTTAATCCCACATAATTAAAAGTGTATTTCTGGATTATATTTTTATTGATAACATTTAATATGAATTTATTCTGAAAAATGAGTAATATTATAAAAGTGTAATTTTACTGGCAAATCGATTAATTATTTAGATGTATCAAATTTTTCACTGTCATTTTAAATATTAAAAACTAAAATTAATAATATTCTTGCTGATACTTTTAAAAATCGTTTTAAAAAAATTATCAAATAAAAAAAACAACCATTTTGTAAAATTAGAAAGAAAAATAAGGACCTTCCATCCGAAGCAGCTGCAAAAGTGAAAACTTATATTTTAATTTTATAAAAATGTAACATTTAATAAATATAAAGAGAAAAATAATTTGTGTCGATATTTTACTAAAGTGGCAATAATAAATTGACGAGCAGGATCCTTCAAATGTATTTGCACATATTTAAAATGAATTCCTTTTACGGAAAATTATCTACACATGGTTTCCATTATTTTTCAAGGACAATGTACGTATATACGATAATCGTATGCTCGTGTATGGAACGCCGGTTATCAAAGGGCAATTCTAAGGTCGGGAGGTATCCATCTCTATCACTCTCGTCGTCGAAACAATGGCGTCGCCGGTTTAGGGACGACCATTGCGAATTAAACGTCACGCATTAATTACGGCCTCTCCTCGCGCGCCGTCCGCGACGTGCGATATTAATGGATTACATATATAGCGTCGTCGTCGACGCGCGAGCTCGCTTCCGGCTATATAAACGCTTGTCCTATAAGCATCGGAGACTGCATCGGAAGTTTAATTGATACTTGCGGGCGTTGCACTCGAGCGAGAGTTCCACGCAATTGATGCACACCATTATGCACGCCGAGTTTCATCGACCGAATATAGTTAACTTTGTGTGATTAAAGTTGGATTATATAGTTATATATGATCTGACATATGATTTAAATCTCGACATTATAATTTCTATAAAGGATATTGTATTTTACTCAAGAGACGCGCGATATAAAATCTGAATAAAAGTGTCAAAATTATTGATAAAATCGACTATAATTTTTGTTCGACAACTCTGTCAATTTGTTAAATAAATATATTTGATCAATGAATTAATTTTTATTGCGATTTTTGCTCGACGAGGCGTTTTAAAACGCTCGTCACCAAAGTCGCGAAATAATCCTGCGCCAGTTCGTTCGCAGATTTGCGTTTATTAATAGACAGAGAGACAGAGAGAGCGATTTTAGGAAACGCTCTCGCGTTTATAGTACCGTCGCAAAGACAGTCCGCGATGTCCGCGTTTATGTCGGGACAGCCTCTCGAGAGTTCTAGTTTCCCAAGGTTTGAGTGACTGCATCTTCCCTCGCTTCTCTACCTCTCCTTGTCGTTTTTCTTGCACGCGTCACCGACGTTCCTTCGCTTCAAATTCACTTTGGGTTAACGCGACGCGAGCCGCACTTTGCCCTTTTTATTATGAACAAGCGAGAAAATTGTAGCAAAATGACGAGACATATAGAATATGTGTCTGAAATTAGTTTTTGTACACAGAGAGAATTTTCTTTTAGAATTTACCCTGAAAATCATGGGACAATATGATATTGTAAGAATTTTATTAGATCTTCTGATTAAAATATATATTTACCACAATAAGATATATAAAATATGTTCAATTAATTTTACTATATATAATACATAATAAAATTTATTATGTATACATATTAATATTTTTTATTGTGGTAGATATTTTTAATCAGAAAAACCCTTATAAAATTCTTCCAATATCATATTGTCTCATGATTTTCAAGGTAAATTCTAACTAAAAGAAAATCCGTGTATAAAATATAAAAATATCACTTTTATCTTTCCAGTAAAATATATATCTCTGTGCATGTTTTAATCGAAATAAAATTGTTGACATAAACACAACACGAGAAGATTGAACGTTAAAGATTATTTATGTTCAAAAAGAACATGAGATTTATCTCTTCTTAATTTTGTAATCTTCAAAGTCACTTTTTTTCTGAAAGCAAAACCGAAAGTAAACATTACTTCTGCATCATCAATTTAATCATCTTGTCAATTGTCGCCACAATTTCGGACACGCTCTATATACATTGTGAACCTATAAGTATCAACCAGAAATTTGATCGAATAATATTAATTTTTGGAACTATTTAAAATACATAATAAAAAAAAAAAAAATAAAAAAGAGATAAAGATAAAAATCACCATAGAGTTTAATCAGCACTTTTTTCAATTTAGCGCGACTTTAAAATGAAATCGTCAACTTTTCACAAATTATCAGAGAGAGTGCGACGATGATCAAAAGCAATTATTGAAATTCAATTAGATCACGGAGAAAGAATTTTTCACAAGGTACATGTCCTGTCTGCGAGAGATGAGAGGATCGCGACGGCGCGCCAAATGTCACTGCGAGGTAGACGCATTTCGCGTTCGCGCTGCGGTTCGGGAGAAGGCAAAGAGAAAGAAAAATCTATCCGCATATCGTTGCCGGCGTGAAAAACAAATGCAACTTAATCCCACTGCGATGCACGTCACTCTCGTCGCGTATGCGGTTTTACGCCCGAGCTTATTTTAAATGCACATGTACGTCGCTCTTTCTCTATCTTTTTGTCCCTCCGTGCGGGTCACCTTTCCCATGAAGAAACCGTTTGTACGTACCCGGCTCGGAATGAGCAACAGATCATTGCGACAGCTAGGGAAAAGCTTATAAATATTTCATTAACCGTTTTTATTGTTTTTCTCTTCTGCAATTTTCTAATTAAAATTTATCTTTTGACGAATGTGTCTCTATTTCTAATTTCTGTAAACTCAAAAATTATTTTATGATCGTTTTTATTAACTTTTAATATTTATACAATTATTCGTGAACCCTCTCTAATATTTCATTTTTTTTATAAACAGGAAACTGTTTGAAATAATAAACAATCGATTATTGCAACGAGCGAGAGAATCTCTAATAAATATCTTTTATTAAATAATCTTTATAATTTTCGAAATTTAGCCTCTAGCTTTTCAGCCAATATAATACCTACATTTGCTATTTATTGTAAATCTCGTTAATTTTTTTTATTAAACTCTCGCCCTCTATATACATATATATCTAATATTGCGAAGATATTTTTTAATATAATTGCGAATCGGAAAATGTCGAGAGAACCAAATAATGATTCGACGCTCGCGGATCATGTTTTCTCTATCGCAACGCGATAACGTATTAATTTACTCGAGCGTAACCTGCGGAAATAAATGTAAAACACTCGATCGCGAAACGTATGGCGCACACGCGTCGCATATTTATACAGGCGGCAATTAAACGGCGCCTCCTCGAACAACGCCGAGTGCGAAATAAATGTGCCGCCACGTGGGAAAACGATTGCGTTGTAATACGCGGTGCATCATCGCGGCGTCGATATGTTGATTCGCTCGATGAGAAAAGTGAATTTAACGGCTTGTTTAATTTCTACCCCCTCACATAAACTTCCCTCTTCCTCCCTTTTTTTCCATCCCTCTTCGATATATTTTG